TTTGATTTCACTATTTCATGCTCAAAACAAATCTAAACAGCACTGAAATGAAACAGCTGATGACATTTTGCACCCCCACCCTAATCTCATGTATAAACACCCAAGGTGTACTTGACAAAAGTGCTTAAACGCATGCTTTACTTGAACCCTTGTGTTTCATAGATTCTTAGGGGCTGGAAGGGAGCTTGTAGATCATCAGGTCCAGTCCCCCTGCACTAGGCAGGACAAAACAACTGGGGTCAAGTGACCCCAGTGAGGTGACTGTCCAGTAGGGCTGTGTGAACCTTCAGTGGCTGAATCTCTGAATCCAAATCTAATTGGGAGACCCTATAATCTCTCCAAATCAATTTGGAGCGATTTTGATGATTCAGACATACACAGCTCTAAATGTTTGTTTGTGTGCATTTATTTGTGGGGTTTTTATATGTACCTCAAGGTACCAGGTGGCTTGTGAATGCTGAGATGGTGGGGTGGATGGAATGTCCCATTGGGGGGTGGGGGCTGTGTGTGTATCCCCAGTGTGCTCGGTGGTGGCTGCTCCCCCTCTCACCCGGCTCTGACTGGTGTATCTTGGGTTGGGGGGGCACCTGGGGTCCCCCCACAGCCAACTGCTGAGCTGGGGGGGAGGGGGGAGTGAGGGAGGTCCCTCATACACTCTGCAGTGGACCTAGAAGTACTTCTGGTCCACCTCTGGATCTGCTGTGAAACATGTGGGTGCCTGCCCCCCACATTCCTGTGGGACGCTCCATCCATCCTACCATCGCAGTGTTCGCAAGCCGTGCCTGGTACCTCGAGGTATATAGAAAAAAACATTTAAAGCTGTGTCTGTGGCTGAAGTTCTGATTTGGAGAATCAGTGATGAATCTTCAGATTCAAATTTGGCAGAATCCAATTGGGACTGTTATCCGAATCAAGTAATCGGGGATCACTGTCCCCTGATCGGGGATCACTGTCCCCTGATCGGGGATCACTGTCCCCTGATCGGGGATCACTGTCCCCTGATTCCGGCCAAATCTGAATAGAATATGGCCCATCTCTCTCTCTCTCTCGCCCAGTCTTGAAGATTTCCAGGGTAGGTGACTGCACCACTGGAGGAAGTTTATTTCATAGGCTGGACACCCTGACTAGGAAGTTTTTCTTGGAATTGAGCCTGAAGTGGCCTTCCAGGAGTTTGTATCCATTGCTCCTGGTCTTCCCCAGAGGTGCCCTGATGAACAGCTGTTCACTGAGTTCTTGATGTACTCCCCTGATGTAGCAGTAAACTGCTACCAAGTCCCCTCAGCCTTCTCTTCTGTAGGCTGAAGAGGCCCAAGTCCCTCAGCCTCTCCTTGTGTGGTTTGTCTTGCAAGTCCCTGATCATACGGGTGGCTCTTCTCTGGCCCCTCTAAGTGTTTTTTTTTTCTACATCCTTGTTGAAGTGGGCTGCCCAGAACTGGATGCAGTACTCCAGATGTGGTCTCACCAGTGTCGAATACAGTGAGTATCGCTTCTTTTGTTTTGCATGAGATGCATTGGTTGATGCATGCCAGTATAGTGTTTACACTGCTGGCCACTGCATTGCACTGCCAGCTCATGTTCATGTGATGGTTGATCACTACCCCTAGGTCCCTTTTGGCTGTGGTGCAAGTCAAATTGTTCCTACCGAGCCTGTAAGTATGTTGGGGATTTGCCCCCAGATGGAGCACCTTTCACTTTGAGTGTTGAATTTCATCTGGTTCTAGTTCACCCAACTCTCCAGCCTGTCCAGGTCCACCTGTATCTGCAACCTATCTTCTGGCTTGACTACAGTCCCCAATAACTTGGTGTTGTCTGCAACTTGACCAGCAAGCTTTTCACCCTCGCATCCAAATCATTGATTAAAGATGTCGAAAACCACTGGTCCAAGCACAGACCCCTGAGGAACACCACTGGCCGCTTCTTATCAGGATGATGCATCAATTCATGAGAACTCTCTGGGTCCTAACATGCAGCCAGTTTTCCACCCGCTGTACTGTTGAGCATTTAAGCCTACAATCTTCCAGTTTTTTCCACAAGGATATCATGGGATACTAGATCAAAACCCTTCTGGAATTCTAGGAATATAATGTCAACTTTCTTTCCTGTGTCCAGGCGGTGACAGACCTGTTTGTAGGAGATGAGATTAGTAAGACAAAACCTGCCCATGGTGAAGCCATGCTGGCTGTCATTAAGAATCTTACCCTCAACAAGTGTATTGCACATAGATCTTCTAAGGAGTTTTTCCAGGATTTTACCTGGGATGAAGGTTAGGTTGACTGGCCTATAGTTGCCTGGGTCTTTCCTCTTCTACTCCTTGATGATGGGCACAATGTTGGCCCTCTTCCAATCCTCGGGGATCTCCCCTGTCTGCCATGATTTCTGAAAGTCTTGCCAGGGATTCTGCAATGACCTCAGCCAGCTCCATCAGCACTCCTGGATGAAGTCCATCCAGTCCTGATGACTCACTATCTAGCTTTTCTAGTTGATTTTGCACCAGCTCAGCATCCACAGTAAGAAAGCTATCATGCCCCCTGTGATTCTTATCTTGCTTGTCTTTCCCCTTGGTCTGGTGAAATACCAAAACAAAATGGGCATTCAGGAGTTCACTTTTTTTTTTCTGATTTTGTCCATTACCAGCTGTCCTGAGGTGTTAAGCAGGGACCCCATGCTTCCATCTGTGTTCCTTCTGCTCCCTATGTACCTAAAGAAAAACTTCTTATTGTCCTTGGCTCCCTTAGCTAACTTAAACTCAAAGTTGCCATTTTAGTTTTCTTAATCATTTCCCTACAAGTGTAGACCATGGCTGTATAGTCCTCCTTGAGGACAGTCCCTAGCTTCCACTGTGCATATGCCTCTCTTCTCTTTCAATGGGACCGTGATGTCCCTATTGAGCCAGGAAGGCTTGCTAGCCCTTCTGCTACCTTTCCTCTTCATGGGAACTGTTTTCTCTTTTGTGCTTTTTGAGGATCATGTCCTTGAGGAACGACCACTCATCATGTACCCCCCCCCCCACTTACCTTCTATCCCTGGTCCCATGTCACCTCCCCTACTAATGCCCTGAGCTTGTTGAAGTTGGCATTTTTTGCAGTCCAGGACTTTGATCCTGCTAGTTGACTTGTCAGCCTTGCAGTGGACAGTGAACCTGATGAGCTCATGGTCGCTGTCCCCCAGGCTACCCTCAAAGTTCAAGCCACACACCAGATCATCTCCTTTGGCCAAAACCAAGTCTAGGAGAGTGGTACCTCTGGTTGGCCCTTGCACTTCCTGGGTCAGAAAGAGCTCCTTGATTTACAGTTAAGAAGCTATGTGACCAATCTGACCTAGCCAAGTGTTCCTCCCAATCTGTCCATGTAATTAAAGTCACCCATGACAACCAAGTCCCTTGCACATGCAGCCTCTCTCAGTTCTTGAGAGAACTCCAGATCCAGCTCCTCCCCTTGGTTTTGTGGCCTGTAGTAAATGCCCACAGTTAAGTCTTTCTCACCTTGCTGTCTCCCCCACACCCCCAAGCTTGACTCAGAGGGTTTCAAGCTGCTTATCTTTGGAGCCAATGTTGGCCTCCATAGAGGTGTACTGGTCTCACAGAGAGCTAACCCTCCACCTTTTCTCTCTGCTTGGTCCTTTCTGTGCAGGGGGTAGCCTTCTACGGCTATGCTCCAATCATGCAACGAGTCCCACTAGGTCTCCATGATCCCTACCAGGTCATATTGTCCACTACAGAGCAGAAGGGCTAGCTCTTTCTGCTTGTTCCCCATCCTCCTGGCACTGGTGTACAGGCAGCTGAGGCCCCTGACTGACACCCTCAGTTTCCTGAGATGTTATGGGAGAACCATTCTGTTAGCATGTTCAAAAACTGTCATCTTGGTGTCCTCCACATGAGAGTTTTCCTGTATGCCAGTCCCCAGACATGCTCTACTTGAAGTTTTCCCATCCCCCAGCAAAGTCAGTTTAAAGCCCTCTATAGTAGATCAGCCATCCTGGCTGAGAACAGGGACTTACCTCTCCACGTGAGGCGGATACCATCTCCTCCCAGGAGTCCTCTCTCCCTGAATTGCATGCTGTGTTCAAAGAAACTGAAGTCCTCATGGCAGCACCACTGTTGGAGGCATCTGTTTACTTCTTCCACACAGCCTGCCTTCTTGGGTCCATGGCCTGCAACAGGGAGCACAGAAGAGAAAATGTGAGCCTCAAGTCCAGCCCCCAAAGCTCTGTAGCCTAAATGTTGTTATGACCCAATTGTGTAATAAGCAGAACTGGCACCCAGGGCAGACCCTGTAGGAGGGTGGGGAAAGGTAGGACTGGCAGCAGCCTTACACACACCAGGAGCTTCTATGCGGTCCAGGCTGAGCTGCTACAGTGGCCACTATTCTACCTGCCCAGCTTGTTTCTCTTAAAATAGTAGTAGCCAGGGTGCCTGGCATGGGTATGCTACCAGGATGCAGACTGATTCCAGTGCCTGGAGTGGGTGCCCCTTTACTCCCCCTAGTTCAGCTACTGATGAACTCATGCTCTTGTGTCAGATAACAGATCAGCACATCTAGTCCATGTTACATGTTCCTGAGAAGTTATTCTGCCTGAAAACTGCTGAGGACACTTGCTATTAAGGTTGTTTCAATGAAATTAGGATACCTGTTTTTGGTACTGCAGGTGGAATTGAAACAGTTACAAGGAGCATTGAGAGATTCTTTTCTACCTTGAGACTGCATTTCCCTCATCCCCTATTTTGAGTGCCAAAACCATAACCATCAAGACAGTGTGATGTACCTTGGTGGATTCTCTTAGGAAGAATGGCAGATGAACTAGTTTAGCAGTACCTCTTCCTCCAATTCTCAGAAAGTTCATGACTGCCAACCTTCTGAAAACTAAAAGGCTATGGTATTTTGGTAAACATTTTTTGACCAGATAACTCAAGTATAGCAAGAACAACTCTCCATATTTGGTGAGAATTGTATAACAAGTCAGCTGAAAACAATGTTCATGAAAAGCTACATATTTCTTAACAGATCCCCATAGCCTCTCATGAACTCCTGGAAACTGCAAACAGTTTTGGCATCTGCAGACATGATCAGATCTAGGATTTTGAAAAAGTGAGTGCAGATGGTGTGCACATCTTCACATACCACAACATTTCTCCAATTAAAAAGAAACTAGAAGCTTTGTGAACATGCTGTGGGGAGGGGGCTAGTATTATATTATTTAGATCAAAGCAAAACTAAATATAACTACTAGAATGTGCACCAATTTGCTATGTTATATATAAAGGCTGAAAAAGCACAACCAACTAGGCAAAAAAAAAAAGTAAAATTGTTTCATTAGTGTTCATAATAGTAAAATGTACATGTCATTCAGATTCATAAAATGAAATGGAGTCTTGAGCATCCTGACAGTGCCTCCAGTACTACTTCTATCAGTCATTTCTGCACTTGAGTGACTATTACTTTACCCATTTTAAGGTTTTTAGCTCAAACTGAAAACATTCTGCATGGCTATGAAATAGAAGTTGCCAGGAATGGGTAACCAAACAAAATTGCAGAAGAAAGGATGGCTTTTTTTTTTTTTTTTTTTTAAATGGCCTTAATGTCCC